CCATTGCTTCCTTCATAGCAGCTGCAGATGCTGCTGCTGATGAACTATGCTCAAATTCTTCCTCATTAAAAGGATTTGCATTGTCATAGGCAGAACTTTGAGACTTGCCCATGGCAAAATCTTCCAGTTCATCTATTGAAGAAGAACCAGCTTGATTTGACGAGCTTCTGTGATGATTGTGGTTTTGGTTAGACCGGCGTGGATAATTGTCATCTTTTCTTTTTGCTTGTGATCCATGTGGTTTTTGCTTAACAGCAAGAGGTGGTGGTGTTCTTGAAGGTGGTGGGGCACTAGTTGGCTGTGTGAAGAGGGGAATCTCAGAAACTGTAAGCCAGATCTCATCTTCGGACTCATCAGATCTTGGAGACTGGTCATCCATACCATTCCCACTGTATTTCTCTGAACCAGAGGCACCAATGTCAACATGAACATCAGAATATCGAGCAGACTGTGACTTAGGAAAGATATTTTCGAAGTTCTCCACAGAAGGTTTTTGGGTTGTATTTTTTCTGGAAAAATTTTGCACAGGACTTGAATCTCGATCTTTGGTGGAGCCATTCCTATCTTTCAAGTCATCATTCAACTCTGAGGTAAACAGAGGTTCTGATTTTGGGACCTGATTAAAAGTGCTTGAGTCCTCGAATAGGCCACTGTCAACAGCAGTATTATCATGTTTTTTCCCTTGAGATTTTGCAGGCCTGCCCAGTTCATCCAAGGGATCCGTGAATATCCCTGAAGATGTATGCTTTGAGGTTGAAGTTGTACCAAGAACATCAAATGGGTCACTTGCCATGCTAGCTGGCTTAGACGTTGACATGGACACATTCTTATCTTTAGTTCCAACAGTCTCCCTATGATTCAAAAAAAAAAAGGATGAGGGAATTTATGGTAACAAATCTGTATATGATTGACATATTTTAGATTAAAAAGATCCAAATCATTCTTTAAACAAAGCAATTTCAGAACCTCGTAGATATTCTTCTTGCATAACTCACTACATATTCCATCACTATAAAGCGTTATATTTGAACCTAAGGTAATTTGCAATCAAAGTTGTGCAGCCTATGAACCTACCACATCCGGTCATTAATGCATGCTGAACATTCTCTATGAACTATGTGCAATTTAAATAAACCATAATAAACCTAGCATACACTGTATTATCCACATAACGCAATATAGAGGCCAAAGCAAGTTTGCCTGAGAAAGTGCACTGGTATCTTTAGGAAAGTAGGGAATGCTTATAAAAAGCATAGCATATGTTCCTAGGCGTTTCTAATAGTAAAATCGAAGTAGAGCCCATAAAATTCACAAGATGCCCATAAGTTTATCCACAAGATGCCATTGATATTCAATGGTCAACACAGATCATACCTAATGGAAAATAGCCTATAAATTCAATTACCAAATAGATTTGAAGATATAAGCCATCAATGAATTTCCTACCTCAACTGGTATAAGTTACCAATTCAAACAATCGCACGTGCACATTAACAAGCTAAAATCTAAGCAAATGCAACATAAATTAGATATGGGAGTCCATAATTTGTCCAACTCAACTGAATTATCACATGGTTCTCTCGTTGCCGAGTTGGCTCATACCGACAAAGCTTCCGCTTGATCCAAACTACTACTAAATTTACTCCTAGATTGCACATGTAGACAACATAATGCCCGAAATTCCCATGCAAAAAGGTGTGCTCACCTGGCACGCATCGGGATCCTCCCGCCAAACCCTGGGATCAAATCATCAAACCCAGCCGATGAAGCGGCCGGCTCAGGCTTCCTCTTCTCCTCCGGCAGCACCTCCTTCACCTCCGGCTTGCTCCCAAATCCCCCAAGCAGATCATCGTACGCAGGTGGCGGCGGCGCGTGGCTGCCACCGAATACATCGTCAAACCGCGCCGAGGAGCTGCTCTTCACCCCGGGAACCCCATCGAAGATGTCGTCATCGTAGACCGGCTTGTCAAACACCGGCATGGACGAGTGCTTCGGCTTGGGTGGGGCATCCGGGGCGGAGGGCTCCTTGAAGGAGTCAAAGATGGCGTCGAGGGAGGGCGAGGGCGCGGCCTTGGGCGGCGGGGCGGAGGGCGCCGCGGCCCCGAAGAGGTCATCGTACAAGGGCGCGGGCGGGGCGGTGGCGGCGGCGGCGGAGGACGCCGATGCGGATCTGGAGTTGGACCAGGCGGATCCGGAGGACGCGGCGGCGCGGGCGGCCGACATGGGCGCCGCCTTCCCCTGCGGGCGCAGCCCAAAGTCGCGGGCCAGGAGGCCCTGGAAGTCGTCCATGGCAACCGCAACAGCGCACAGATCACCGGATCTGACTCACGAGCTCACCCCCCGCCCACACCACCACCACCTCCCGCCGCGGAGGCTAAGAGCGAGTACGCGAGGGGGGGGGTGTGGATCTGGGGGAAAGGAAGAGGAGGAGGATCGGGGACGGCGACGAGACAGCTACCGATCTGGGGAATGAGGGGGAGCGCTCCTTGGCGGCGGCGGCGGTGGCCCGGTCGCCGGAGACGCCGCCGGAGAGATCGCCGGAGACGGGAGGGGAGAGAGAGAGACGGTGAGTCGAGGAGGAGAGAGAGAGATGGGGAGAGAGAGAAGAGAGAGAGGTGGTGTGTGGGCGATATCATCGGGACCCGTGCTTTCCCCACTGCCACGTGGAGCCCACGAGGAAAGTTGGAGATCGTGTTACGGCTACGGGGGATTCGTCCGAACCGCGTCACTGACAGGTGGGTCTGGTTTTTGTTGGTCCCACCTGTCTGTGAGGTGTGAGGGTGGTGAGGAGGGCTTGAACGTGGGAGTGCCAGCGCGTCGGTGGCGGCTTACGCGCTGTGCGGGGGGATTCGGTGTGTGGGGCCGGGGGATGTTTGGGGGGTACGTGGACGGATGTGATTGGTCGGAACCGGTGTTGTGTGGTTTGTGCGATGCGGTGTGGTGGACGAAGTGGATGGGCCCACGGGTGGGTGGGTCCACTTGTTCGGTTTGTTCCTTTCTCGCGCTCGTCCGTCTCCACCGTGCGTGATCCGCCTGAAGGCGTAAACCTTGAGGTACCGCGTTGCTGTATAGAAAGCGTCAGACTAGGTTTACTAAAATGAGGTGTTCCGTTTGGTCTATGCATGTGTACACCGGTAACATGTGTTTTGAATACAAAGTGTATCATTTGACTTTTTACGGTAAGTAGGCCAGTAGGCCTCATGCTTTTTATACTGGACGGTCGTCAGATGCCACATATACAATATGGGCTAAAGAGTTTACATAACAACGGGTGAAATGAGCTAGTACTATATAAAAAAAAGTATATTACAATAATAATTTTGTTATTGACCTCCATAAATTAGGTGTAGGAATAAGCACCTCGGCAACCACTGGACAAGTGGGCAGTGTGGAGGAAGCAGTGGCAACAATTTGACTTAGCTTTTTTCTGCACGTGAAATAAAAACATTTAACATATTATTAATTAAGTATTAAATCGATAAGCTAGATTTGTTTGATTTTTTTTAAAATAAGCTTTTATATAAAAATTTATTTTAAAAATACACCGTCTAATAATTTAGGAAACATACTCATAGTAAACGAACGAGTTGCAAAAGCTAAACTCACTTTCAAATTGGCAACAGCCAATAAGATGACCTTTTGTTGGCTCTAAAGAATAATCACCTAAATTTGAAAGCCATATACATATACAACAATATTTCTCAATGCTTTCTTTAAAAATTATTTTATCTTTTACCGAGTCTCAAATCTTTCTCTTTTACTTTGGACTAGCTCATGCACAACAGCTAGTACTTGGTGGCTATGCGCTCACACTCAACGAACATATGATTACTTCTTTCTCATTCATGTAGGATGTAGGTTGATATGGCTTGAGTGATAACGTTTGCATGTAAACTAAGGTTATTATACTTGCCGTACATATATGATACTAGGATGAAGTAGATATACATTTATGATAGATGCTCACAATTTTTCTTTGTGGAATCACACTTTTTTGGATGGCAATTGTTGATTAAGTATGCAACCATAAGGGGTGTAAGGAAAGTCAATCATTGTGCAGCTATGGTTTATTGGGCATTTGGATGGAGAGGCATCTTTTTTCTCTTCTAATGAAGTGAACATTGAAGAAAAGTATGTTATTCTTCGCTCCAAGTATCAATGCATATACTTGTAAAATAAGCATCACATCACATGTATATACATGTACCATGCCAAGAAGGTAAGCATCACCGTTTAGCGATGATTCGAGGACCAGCATAGTGTAGAAGAGCGGTGTACATCTTACCTTAATTTATAGAAGAATGGTATCTCCCGATGAATAAAACCATATAGAACACGGCTATATCAAAAACTCATACCATATTAACCTTATTGATTTCAACCAGAGAGAAACGGGACTAGGAAAAACAATCTAAAACGACTAATAACATGTTGTACATGGTAGAGGCGAGATCAATCAAGGAGTCGATAGTGGTGTATGAAGCACGTATACATTCATTTCTGTTTGAAACAAGGGTGCGTACACCCTGTGATCACAAATATTTGTGCTCTATGATAAATCTGGTTATTTTTTATTGCTTGGCCTATCAATAATCGGGATAACTTTTAGTTTGAAAACATAAAACAATATAAATAGATTTATCTCGAAAAAGTACTTTTATTGAAAAAATTCAAACATCTTAGTACTAAATTCAATCGAGCAAACTTATGACAACAAATCATTGACCATATGCTAGAGGTTGTAACAATATGAACAATCCCACTAAACGAGGACTCTTCGACATTGCATAGAAATTATTAATTTTATGTTCAGCTAACCTTAAAAAGACTACTCCTAATATAATTTTCATAAACGAACGAGGTATATAGCGACTCGAAATGAGGACAAATCAGGTCCATTTTTTCACCCCCATGCAGGAGGAAAATGAGAGGCAGGGGTATTTTCGGCACTTCACAACTCGAGAATAAACAAATCTTGAAAAATGTGACAAGATGGCCGCTGCTCTGCTCTGCTCCTGCTCATCATCTTCTTCTTCTCCGCTCTCCCTAATCCAAAAAAAGGCGGCTGCTTTGGTCGCTCGCTCGCTCGCGCGGACGTTGGAGGAGAAGCAGCTACCGGGATGGACGCCATGGCCGTGCTCGCGAGGACCTCCCGCCCCGCCCCGACCCTCCTCGCCGCGACCTCCCCCGCGGTGTCCCGGCGCCCGGCGGCCGTCTCCTTCGCCGCCGCCGCCTCCCCGGGGTCCCGCGGCCGCGTCGCGCTGAGCGCCGCGTGGGGCGGGAGGGCGGCCAGGGGGCGCGTCTCCGCCGCCGGCCGCATCGTCGCGTCGTCGGTTGGTCACCTCTCGAATTAATCCCCTTGTTTTTACCTACTCGCGTTTGGTCCAAATTGCAGGAAAAGATTAGTTCCTTTTTTGTGGGTTGAGAGGGGCAATTTGGTTTGGTTGTGATGTTGGTTTCAGACTTTTACTCTACTGTTGTATTGGCCCGAGTCGTATTTTTTTTGATAGATTGGGGAAGAAAAAGACATGCTACTAGCTGAGCACAGATGAAGATAATCGTTTTTTTGGCTCCCTATTGATTGCAAAAACTGAACAGATAATTCACTGAAATGTCCCACATATTCATACGTTGCTTTGGCCAGTCTGAATTTCCTTTTTTGTTGAGAAGAGTCAGTCTAAAATTTTAGTACCCGTTTCTGGAATATTCTATGGTTATTGACATAAGTTATTGGAAAAAAAGGAAGCGAACTTGAACTGAAAGTAAGAATTTTGCCTTGCTGCTGTCAGCGGCAGACAGTACTGATGAAAATATGGCACTTAGGCATGCTACATTGTGTTGATTGCCAAGTAGGAGTTGCTTTTGTACCGTGATGCGCATATGGAAATGGTCATGGCAATTATTTTGGATGCTCTGATAACCATCTAATTTGCTGCCTAGTTCGTGCAGTACAATTGAAGATGTTTGCTATATATGTCATTATGTAGAATTTTTGTGCCCATCAGAATTCCAAAATTTGGTCTTCATTTTTTTTACTCTTTTTGTTAATAAATGCAATGATCTCTGTGGTTCTACTGTGAGATTGTTTGAATTATTCAACAACGTGTTTCAAATTCCAGTACTTGAACAGGTCCAAGTTTCCTTAGGCAATCTCATTTTGCGATGCAGCATGACAGTTGTTGCAACTTGCAATGTCTTAAATACACAGTGAAGGGGTACTGTAGAACAATCTAAATCTGTTTATGCATAGTTGAGAAAATTGAGTTATGTTGAAGGGATGCCAAATTTATTCTTGTAGTTTTTCATTATTCCCCTCAAGCATAAAGCCATTTTCTGTTTGCTAATCTCAGTAACGTGTTAGTGCATCAATGTTGGTTTTATTAATCTTACGCATTTAATCCCTGAAATCAAAGATGCAGATCAGCAGAACTTGTAGAACTGTTTCATTTTTTATGTCCACTTATTCTTTTCATGGCACGATATATGCCTATATCTGAGAGGTATTACGGATGCTGTTTGACTTAGCTTAAGTATGGAACCTGAGTTCGTCGCTTCTATTTTCACAGAATAAGTGTGGATCTGTCTATTTATGAAACTAGGAAGGTAGCCCGCGCATTTGCGCGGGCATGTTTTTATTTCGTTTCGAAAACATGTCTAACAAAATAAGTTTAAATTAAAGTGAGGTGTTTCCCTTCTTAATTGAATGTTCATTGTATTTTTTCTTTAAAAATCTTGAGAAACTTTAATTGCTCATAAATATATATTTTTTACTAACCTGCTATCACCTTTTTAAATTGACCAAATATACATATGTAAGATAGTGATTCTTATGCGTAGGATCCTACAGTATTTTTAAGAAAAATACCAAGTTAATATGAGTCTTAAAATAAAAATTAGTAGGAAATTTCTAATCATATCGTTATACGAAATGCTTATTGATTTTGTATTGACACCTTAGAGGCATTTACATGCAGGTCGTGGAATTTAGTGTATTCGTTTAATTATCATTGACCTTCATCTCCTGATGTGTCAAAGTGAAATATGACTTGTATGTAGAGAAGAAAAAAAGTTTAAAAGAATAAAATATCGTTAGGATGTAAAATGAACTTTTTTTTCCTCTGTAACCAATGGAATAGATTGATTCAATACTACTTTTGCGGGTTAAGTGCTCCACTAAAATAGTTCACTGTGTAAAAGCTTCAACTCTACCTTCTGGGTTAAGTACTCCACTAAAGTAGTTATATGTAAACACATTACAAAAGTTATTTCTAAAGGTAGCCCATGAGTCCGAGGCAAAAGGCTCATCACATAGGAGGCTGCACATTTGAGGAACATGAGAACAATATTCTCGCGGAAATCATTTGTTTAGAATGTGATGAACATAATTGTATATTCAATTAAAAACGTTAGAAAAGTGGCTTAAAGTTGTCATTTCACATTGATTGGTTATGAAAATAATGGTATATATAAATCTTTGTGCCGATATCATTGTTTGCCAACAATCAACGAACTTGATAGTTACTTTTGGTGTTCCTTTTGGTATGTAGCAAATTGGCTACATATTTTACAACTTACTGTATCCTTTGCTGAGATGCACTTGCTTTTTTTTCTCTGTATACTTGATTGTCTCATTGTTTATTAATGGATGCCTTCGGTCCACGTGACACAATATATATTTCAAATAAAAAGCCTTCTCGAGTCTAAATTGATTTTGCAGCGTAGGAGATAGTTTATTGTTTCGTGTAGAGTGTGTGAGACTCCATGTAGCTTAGCAGGAACATAATTTTCATTGCGAAAAATAACTCCGCATGTGTGATTATTATGTAGTGTGGTATGATTGTTGTCATGATTTAAATATTTTTACTCTAAAATTTATGATTAAACATTAGGATTTTACATAATGCAAACAATCACTTTGTGATTTTATCTTAGCTAACATGCATTAGGCCTTTAGTGATTATGTTTATATTGCATAATCCTAAATATGAAGCCTACAATGCTTATCCTATTTTATCTTTGTTGTTTGAAAGAATTAGCCATTTATACAACCATGGTAGTTTAAATACTAAATAGTTTTTAACTTTTAAGTTTCTAAAATAATTGGTAGATAAAGCTTTTAGCTCGGTCATGCATGATACATACATGTAGTCCCAAGCTAATTTGCCCCCTCACGCTGACAGTGTCCTGAGTAATGTCGATGGGGGCAAAATTGTGACCGATCAAAGTCTTAATTTTTTTCAGTTCAAGAAAAAAAAATGAATCTCAATTTTTTAGACTACTATCCAATGTCTTGTACTCTATATGTACGAACGAAGCTATAACCGATCTCTTTTCCTTTGCGTTAGATCAATGTATATGGCCCACACCATTAATTTATATATATCTAATGGTTAAAATTAATAGGTCCACCGATTTGAATGAAAACCGATGGTAAGATATTTTTCTTTTTTTTAGAATTTATAGGATTTTACCTAATTTATTATAGCGTAAAGTGATGATTTAGGAGCATTTGTAGAATATGCATGTGGTGGCTTGATAATGTTTATTGGAAGTATAATGGACTTTTAGTATTTTTTTAAGTTTCAGAAAGAAAAATGAATCTCGATTTTTTAGACTACTATATAATGTTTTCTTCTTCCGTAAGTGTACGAACGAAGCTATAACCATTCTCATATCCTTTACATTAGATCGATGTACGCATGGTCCACACCATTATATTATTTTATATAGATCTAATGGTTAAAATTAATTGGTCTAACATTTTAAATGAAAATCAATGCTAAAGATATTTTTCTTTTTTTCTTAGAATTTGTAGGAATTTTTCTAATTTATTAAAGAGTCATGTGGCAATTTATAAGCGTTTATAGTATATAATATAATATAAGACACGTATAATTATATTATTTTGACTTACCGGGGAGTAATTTATTTTCTAATTTAATTATTGTGTAATTATGTTTGATGATAAAATCTATATCGTTATTTTTTCATAATATTTTGGAATTATTTAAATGGCACGTAAAAGTCAGAAATTGTAACCAAAACATGACATTCTTTTTGAAAGATTAAATATAAGCAGTTTAGATGTTATATTTGTTTAATTGTCAATTGTGCTCACCTATTGTGCTTTCTACCTAATATTGCATAAGAATAGGAATAAGAAATAAGAGAGGGAACAGAGGAGGAAGAGAGGAGGCATACGGGTCCAAGTACGTACGTATACCTACTACGACTCCACGTAGGTACAATACTGATAGGGATTGGAGGATTATTTTTTCTTTATAGATTGATCTAATGGTTAAAAATATCGGGTCCACCAGATTAAATGAAAATCAACGGTTGGGTGTTGTCTTTTTTTTTAGAATTTTAAGAATTTCTATAATTTATCATAGTGCCAAGTGGCAGCTTGGGAGCGTTTGTAGGGTACACGTGGCAGTTTGGGAGCATTTGTAGGAAGTTTAATGGACTTTTATTATATAATAGATGTCAGACATTTCTGATTACCTCAATATTCTGTTATTTCAGTTAGAAGTTGAGAACTCTCCACTTAGGTGATCTCTTCCTGATCAACCATAAGATTAAATCTATTTTTTCTGTAGGTTGAGCAATCCTATATTATGATCAAGCCTGATGGTGTTCAGCGAGGCCTGGTATATCATTTTACTTACTTTTCTAACTTTAGATTCCATTACTTTTTTTTGACGTAATATATTCCATTACTGAATACTGTAGTTCCATTATAGTTTCTTTCAGCTCAGATAAACACTCCTGTCGATTCGTTCATATAGGTTGGCGAGATTATTTCCCGTTTCGAGAAGAAAGGCTTTGTGTTGAAGGGCTTAAAGCTTTTTCAGTGCCCCAAGGACTTGGCACAGGTTTGCCTCTTAATATCCACCGTTTTCTTCAAAAGTAAAGTGTTTTCTTCCACCATCTGGGGACTCACCATTTAATCATCGTTGGAGAGCAATGGTGCCATTTCAAAATATACCATGGTTGCGTGGCATGACAAAATATCATGCCCAGTTTATTTTCTTGGTAGTGGGCAATTTGCCAAGACTTGAATGGACTTATTTGAGGAGATCACAGTTTTATTGTTGTGAATGGAAATTTCACAATCGAATAAATGATAAATAGCATGTCTGTCTGGTATGTTATTTCAGGACAGCCTTGATCATCCAAAGTACTCATTCTTTGCTGACTGCTGAGATAGTTCTTTCGAGTCACTTTTTCTTGTATTCAGCCAACGAAAAGTGATCCATTAAATATCCAAGCAGCTGGAGAAAATTTTGTAGAAATGCCATCGAAATTTGTGGTTAAACCTGGTTTCTGCTCACCGTCAGAGCATACAGTATTATCTTTGTTTTCACATAGGAAGGGAATCACCAGGAGTATATTATGTTTAATCAACGAGCTGCTAATTCTCTCTTATGTGCACAGGAGCACTACAAGGATTTGAAGGAAAAACCTTTCTTTCCCGGTCTGATCGAGTACATAACTTCTGGCCCTGTTGTTTGCATGGTATATATATTTGTAAAGAACCAAACATATTTGTAACTCTGCACTTTGATCAGTAAACTGTTTTCAATTAAATTTATTGTTGTTCTGTTCTGTAAGGCTTGGGAGGGGAATGGTGTTGTTGCATCAGCTCGCAAGTTAATAGGAGCTACTAATCCCCTTCAAGCTGAACCAGGGACCATACGGGGCGATCTTGCAGTTCAAACAGGAAGGTTGGAATCAAACAACCTTTCATGTTTTAACATTATTATATCTACCACATCTTTCACATTTTAGCGGATATCTCTGCATATATATCTCTGTCAAAGAAATTAAATTTCTTATGGACTCTGCTTTCCAGGAATGTTGTCCATGGAAGTGACAGTCCTGATAACGGCAAGCGTGAAATCGGTAAGTTCTACTCCTTTTCCCAGTAGTCATGGTATAACAATATAAGGTGCATAGAATCATGAGTTTTAAGTACTACGAAGAATGAAGTAGTTGACACAGTGATTAGGATCATGTTTTTTTTTTTTAAAAATAATAATTCAGCAGCACTATGTGCTTAGAGACGTGCATGTTTGTTAGCTTGGACTTAACTTTATTGTGACCTGCTATTTTGTTCTTTACAAACAGATGATAAACTCATTACACATTTTCTGTCTGTAGCTCTATGGTTCAAAGAAGGCGAACTCTGCGAATGGGAATCTGTTCTGACACCATGGCTTGTAGAGTAATGCTCCCAGATCAGTGCAAGAACTGGATGCAGTGCTTGTTCTTGATTTGAGGGGTTATGTATGAGTTCAGATCAGCAGAGTAAAGTAGCTTATACCAAAGCTCGGCCTTCTCATGACTGTACACCCTGACATTCCCCTTTTTTGTAATACCCAACATTCCCTTTTTTGCGTTTGACCGATTACTCTCTGTTGTCAAATCTCCTGGCATGTCTGTAATTGGTTCAGAACAATACCAGCAAAGCTCCAACTTCCAAGTCATTATGCAGATGAATGCGTTCAAAATTATCTCAGGCAGTTGACCGATGACTGATTGTCACTGTTGTACTATAGCTCCCAGCAGAGGTGAACTCGTGCAGAGTTGCAGAGTTCATTTGGCTGATGAGCCATATCTTGATCAGCAGTTATGAAATTGTCACCGTATTGGTGTTCAACCCACAAATGAGGAGGCTAAGGGATACTCGTTTGATCTTTTTTGGTGCTTGCATTTCTTGAGATAATGTTTTACTGCTTGATATTTCATCCCAGAAGCTCTCATTTGTACCTCAGCCTCTCAACACCTGAAAGTCTGGACACTGAAGGCATTGATAATTTTCTTACTTCATAGCCGAAAATAAATAAAATCTCAAAATCAAGACTATAGGTGAAAAACCAGCTAAGTGCTTGTGTTTGAGATTAGCCATAAAGCATATTGGCTCAACATGCGAAATTAAATCTGGAGCGTTGGGCACACTCAGGTAATTGTGGGGACTTGGGCCGTGCCGGTCTAGCACGGCATGGCCCATCGTGCTTCGTGCCGGCCCAAGCACGGCCCAATGGCACGCAGTGATATTTGGGCGAGCCCGGGTTCCCTTCTTCCTCGCTACTCTACTCGGCGAGGCGTTACGAGCCCTTCCTCACTAGTCACTCCTCAGCGACGTTAAGGAGACCCGACAACTTCTTCGTCAAATCTTGATACTGGGATGAAAACGGTAACGGAAATTCTTAGCTGACCGATGTTCGTTTCCGACTTTCTACCGGCCAAGCCATATGAAAATGGTAATCGATTGGAACGAAAATGAAAATGGTAAAATTTTTAAATGTGTCAGTTGCTGATTTTTTTTATTTCATCTACCTTATAATTCACCAACTCATTTTACTCATCTTTCTCTCCTACACTCTTACATTCATCACTCAACGGTTCAGATCACCTCTGTGAAATCCAATGCTCAGGATCGTCTCCACCTCCCACGCGCGTCAAACGCCCGAGAATACGGTCGCCATCCCGCAATCCGCCAATCCGCCCCTCTCCCAGCGCCGATGTCCCTCACAATCGTCGCCCTGGCCGCAGTAGCGCCTCCCCCTCCCCAAGCCTGGCTATTGCTCCCTGAGCCGGCCGGCTGCAGATCGCCTCGCCGCAACGCAAGCGCGTGATTTCCTCCCCCTCCCCCACGCGAACGCGATCTCCTCCCCTTCCGAAGATTGGGGAAACGCAAGCCTGCAAGTGTGGAGGCATCCATCCGCCTGACGTTGCAGCCGTCGGCGCGGACGCCGCTGATCCCGAGTCGACACCAACCAGGCCACTGGCTGATCTACTTCCAAGCTCATGCGCGTGAGCAGGTCCATTTCTCTGATCCTGCCTGATAGGAATTGCAAGCAAGACATTATGGTTTTGGCTTATCAATTGGATCTGAATGCATCAGATATCTTCCTCTCCGGAAATTGATTTGGGACGAAATTGATGGATTACTAATGGTTGTTGCAACAGGGTAATTTGCCCTCAATCTGAGGTATTGCCATGTAAGTGCTATTTCCTTTAAAATGTTCTTTGGACTAAACACGGTGTTATAATTTTACCTGATGCAGGTGCATTGCGTGTTGTTCAGTGCAATTCGAAACCAGATAATTTCTTGATTTTTCAAAATGCACCTTCTGCTGTAACAGCAGTAAAAAATGCTGGAATGTGATTGGCCATTACATGTACATATGTGTAAAAAATAAAGATGCACCTTGGTATTTAATATTTCTTGAACTTCCATTCTCCTTTTTCTTTCTTTCTTCTTCTTATTTATTATTTATTATATTTTACTTTTTGCATAGAGCAGCAAACTGATAATAATCAGTGCTTGGCTACTTGGTACCTTCTGAATATTTACTATGTGGTTCGTGAGATTGGTAATATGTTCCATCAATGAATGACTAGGCTTCAAGGCTAAGAGGGCAGATGACGAATGTAGTGATATATGTAGCTGCCTACGAGCTAATATTATTGACCTTTGGGCTTTGGATTAGAACTGTAATAAATAAAGTATCAATTGATTATGTAAACATTTCTTCTCGTTGTTGGCATGCCAGAGTCAAATATTGGTAATCTTTTTTTCGGGCAGATTTGTCCTATTACTAAGCATTTTCCAAATGATGTTATGCATATCAATTCCACGGTCCTTTTTTTTTCTGATTAACACTGTAGTACTTGTTCTCTGAAGAAAATGTACATATCATGGATATGTAGAGTGGAGAAGAGAGGCTGCACTGGGAATAAAAGTGAGGAAAAATATTTTTGTAATACACTGTATTGAACACGATAAATTAATAGCTGGTCGAATTTATATGTGTTGTAGATAGTTAGAAATGTATAAAAATTGTGATTTTATTTTATGCATGCGGCTATGGAATCAACAATATACTAACTTAAATCCATCTCATCCTATGCTTTTAATTTACATTACTGATTGGCTTTGAAGCATTAGCACAGGCATATTACTATAAGTATATGTTTACAGAATATGTACACTGGTAATTGCTACAGCATTTAGTGTTGTGTTTTATTTTTTGTTAGATGTTGTACCGAAGAAAATATAAAGAGCCCTTTCCTTTATTGATCGAATGTTTTGCAAAAAGCAACCATGCATGCATGTATATCAACCATTGATATTTGACCGGATGCTTTTATATGTAGAGAGGCTTGCAGAATTGTTCCGAGTACAATGTAAGTGCCACTCTTCTCTAATTACTATTAGTATTTTGATAAAATTATGTCTCATTTTCAGACTGCAGTTCAATTTGTCATTTCAAGGGATAAGCAGGGTAGATAATATATGTATTTTGTTAGAATAGAATACGGACGCTTCTGGTATTTAGCTGATACCTACACATAGTGAAGAGTAATGTGCGCTCGCCACCGGCTGAAGGTTTCGCTCGCCAAGTCTGACACAGAGAAGCAGTTGAAGTTAACCTCGGTTTCTCAATTTTTTTTTCATTCTATTTGTTTTTGAGAGCTGGGGATTGGGCATTTCTATTCATTTAGCAACAACGTTTCTATTTTTCCTTTTTCAGCACATACTTCGACTGTGAAGTCACTGTTATTTGATCCTTCAAATCCCAAAGTTATTATTATACAAATAGTTGAAAGGTTCTATAGGTGCTATTTCTATAGAACCAATAGTTACAAATATCAGTTGAAAGGTTCTATAGGTGCTATTTCTTCAATAAATCCAGCAGCCTTATTCTATGCTTTATAATTAAAACAATATTAACTTCTTTTTGACTAAAAACAATATTAACTTTTGGAGATTACAGAGTAAAGTACATAGACGGTCCTTACACTTGTAGGGTTATGTTATCTAGATCCCCAAACTCTTAAAATGGATCCACGTCTCGGAACTTATCAAAGTGTATCATCTAGGTCCCAAATCGACACAGCCCCTCTAAGATCCTATGTGGCACTAATGTGGCATGCCACATGGACATGATGGGTCTTTTTTTTCTTCTTTTCTTTTTCTTTTTCTTTTTTTTGGTTTTCTTCTCATTCTTCTTTTTTTTTTCTTTCTTCTGCTTGGGTCATAGAGAAAGGAGAAGAAAGGAAAAATAAAAGAGAAGAAAGAAGAAAAAAAGAAAAAGAATTTTTTTTAAATGGGTCTCATTTGTCAGTCAAAATTATGCCATGTCATGCACGTATGGCATGCCACATCAGTATCATGTAGGATCCAGAAGGTTGTAGCGATTTGGGACCTAGAGAACATACTATGACAAGTTCTGATACTTGGATATGCATTTTAAGAGTTTAGGGACCTAGATGATACACCTCTACAAGTTTAAGAGCCGCCCGTCCATTTTACTCTACTAAATATCACCGTTGCGTTAGCACGGGTATATTACTAGTCATATATAATTTGATGTTTCACTCGTTGGTCACCGGAATACCGTCTGATTTTTTTTTGGGACGTCGGACGTTCGATGGGAGAAGATTCTTCCATATTTATTCATAGGAAAAAAACATTGACGGTAAAACATTATTCAGATGGGGATGGATCGATCGAAACATGCACACAGTACATATCACTTGCGTGCATGTGATCATTATTTAATTAAGATAAAGATGGCCGGGGGCCCGGGCGCTGAAGGAAGGCAGATGAGGGAGGCTAGCCGATGGTGGGGGTGCCGGCGACGGTGTCAACGAAGATGCGGACGCGGTTGGAGCGGAAGTCGAGGGTCACCGGCGACCCCGCCGGAAGCACGACGATGTCGGCGTCGGGCATGTCCTTGAGGATCACCTTCTTCGCCTCCTCCGCCGACAGCCCCACCACCTCCGGCCACGACGTCTTCCGCTCCCCCTCGCCGCCGCTGCACGCCGCCGACCTCACAACTCCGGCCATGATCGATTGATGATGATGAGCTATATATCAGCAATGTAAACTTTGGAGAGAGTATATATATATATATATATATATATATATGTAGCTAGCTTAATTAGCTTGCTTAATATGGCGTATATTTATAGGCATAGCTAGAGAGATGGATTGATCGATGCATGGGTCAATTTAATATGTCGGTGTTGCATGTGATCGATCATTGATATGCGTGATACACGAGCGAGTATATAAACGCATTATGCATGCAGCATGTGTTTTGCTCTCAGTGGTCCGGTTGCTGATCGAATCAAACTGGCCCATGCGCGTATGCATGCTGCCAAATTAGTCGTCATTGATTGTACATATATTTCCCATTTCACGTGAAGCACATACCCGGCCGTACGTAACTTTTTCTGTTTGGGATAACATTATTTATCCATCCCTAGCACACATCCAGAATGAGAAATTATTTAATGGAGGGGATCATCCCCCAAACTATTGCTCCTCTCCCTCTAGCTTGTTCCTCCTCCCATCTTTCCTTGTATCAATGACGATTCAGCAAGGCAGAAAAGCTCTATTCGCTAGCACCCATTGTCGCATCCGTCCCTTTATTTAGCTAGCTATCCTACCACGATCAAGATGCTCACTAGAACATGGTGTGTTTTTTTTATATGTTTGTTGGGTGGTATCCAGCAAGTTGCTGCGGGTAGGGGTGAAAACAGTCGGAATCAGTAGCATCTCTTCAGAAACGATGCTCGATCGGTCGGTAATTGAACATATTTATCATTTAAACTACTCAATATCGACATTAATACGACACAGAAAGAAATTAGAAAAAACAAAATTTTAAAATAGCCAAAAACGTTATGGTCGGAAACGGTACCCCTTAAACAGAAACAGCGCCCGGTCGATTGGGAATTTCCGTGACCGTTTTCACCCCTAGCTGCGGGATTTTATAAAGTCATAAGTAAAATTTTGTTATAAGTAAAATTATAGAACAATGGTCAAGAAATTGACTGGAGATCATTTTTCTTGTTATTGAGGGAATTATTAAATTAAGATAAATTGGAGAGCCCATCCAACGTAGCTGCCCTTTCTGGTTTTTCGATATTTCCGATATCGTTTTTGTTTCTGAGAAAAATATGGTTATGGTAATGGTTGAGCCTGTTTTATGATCGTTTCCGACCGTTTTCATCCCAACTTGACACGTGAGGAGTTTGGAAGTTTTCCCAAATTTTGTAACTTCGTATCAAAAGATTGAGAGCCATGAGCACAAAGTTTTTGATTTTTTTTTTTGGGAAGTTTCAGTTTTTGGATTAAAAGTTTTGGGATATTATATTGAAAGTTTGAGCCAAGAATATTTTTTTTGATCTTTTAGTTGAAAGTTTCAATTTTTGGATAAAAGGTATGTGATTTTATATATGAAGTAGGTTTATTTTTTTCCTAGTTAAACTTTCTTTAAGTATGACCAAGTTTGTAGTAAAATATAGCAATATTTTTAACACAAAAACATAGTATCAAAATATATCCAATGCTACATTTTATAAAACTAATTTGGTATTATAGATGTTGCTAATATTTCTATAAACTTGGTTAAACAAAAAAAAGTCAAAACAATTTATAATATGAAATGGAGGGAGTACTCATTACAAAACAAAAGAAAAATCTATGAATTATATAGAGATACTACTAGGAGCGCAGTGTGCTCCTAGTATTCCGAGCGCCAAGCATGCATCAGCCCAAGTCCACCTCAATCCATGTCCCGTCATCCCGCTCTTGATGCATCAAGTCCACCTCAATCCATGTTCTGTCATCCCGCTCCCACCATTATCAGAGTAAACGATTTACTTTGATAAAAACAACTTCCCTGCTCCCCACCCCACCCCACGTCCTGCCATCCCGCTCCAACAATTATCGGAGTAAACAATTTACTTTGATAAAAACAACTTCTCTGCTCCTGACGTGGACTGCAGCAGGTGTCGGCTCTGTCAGGCCGCGGCACGCAACTGCATTGGGCAGCGGTGGTGGCTGCAGTGGGAGGACCCACTATTATGAATACAATTTTCTTAGACGGGGTGCATTTATTTTTCCAGGTGAAGATCATTTTCACGTATGGCCACCTAGGAAGATTATTTTAATAATAGGTAAAGGTTACGAAAAATCAGTAAACTAATGTCACAACGGACGAAAAGGTGGGTGCCTACATAATCATCTTAAATTTTAATAATAGGTAAAGATTACGAAAACCCTTGGACTCGGGCGCCCGATGGGAACGAGAATATCGGGCACCCGCGCCCCACGCCTCGCTCCACCCACCGCCCACACCCTCGCACCCCCTCCATCTTATCCATTCCCCTCCTCTCTCTCAACCATTTCTCTCCACCCGTTCCTCACGCTCACTACTACAAAATCGATTTTTCATGGCATCAACTTATTTGTTTTCTCTGGCGGCCATACGTGAAAACAACCAGCGAAATTTTAACAAGGGTCGGCAGCGAAAATGGATCTTCGTTGGCGGCCGGGTTAAGAGGGCCGCCGACAAAAATAGAGGTATTTTTGCAGGCGGTGCTCTTAAGATGCTGCCAGTAAAAAAAACAATTTTTACTGGCGGGGTGTTGGGAGCTCCGCTTGCAAAAGTAGTGGGAGAGAATAAACAGCACGTGCTCCCTCTTTTTTTTCTCAACCCCCCAGATCCAACCCTTCTCTCTTTCTTTCTTTCTTTCTTTCTTTCTTTATTTTTCTCTCTCTGAATCTCTCGCGATTTCTCTCTCTGTATAGCTAGTAGCGGTGAAGTGGTGCAGGAGCAGCGGTCAACGATGGCGGCGCTCAGCGGCAGCGACATGACTTGGCCATGCTTGGGGGCGGCAAGGAGAGCCACGTAGTGGAGGTCGGCGGCAGCGGAGGGGAGGCGGTGGTGTGGTTCTGTCCCGTACGCGGCCGCGACAACGAGACGGTCGCGCTGCAGGGAGAAGCTACGGTGGCCCGGCTCTCCCCTCCCTCCTAGATTTGGCTGGAGGGCAGGGGTGGCTCGGTCCGGATCTAGCGATCGTGGGTCGTGAGGGTGCAGATTCGGCAGCAGCAGGTCACGGGGGCACGGATCCGGCGGCGACGAGTCACGGGGGCGTGGATCCGGCGACAGTGGGTTGCGGCGGCGCGAATCCGATGGCGGCGGGTGACGATGGCATGGATCTGGTGGCAACGACTTCCTCTCGGCTATGGTTTCCCCTTGGCATATATCCTCCTCCATAGCGGCAAAGGAGACGGGTGGCGATAGTGTAGGGGATAGATCTGACTGGGGTGGTGTTCGATACCACTGGATCCGCCTCCACGGCGGCGAAGATGAGGGGCGGTGAAGGAGGTAGATCAGGCAGCGGTGGTCCTCTGGACCACGGCCGTTGATCCTCGCAGGCCGACCGCTGTCGTCGACCCTACCCTACCCTCATACGATGACATCTCGAATTTCAAATTTTTTTTATCCCAAAACATGTTTTCATTGGCTATCCTCTTTAGTTTGCCACCTGCAAAAATGGTATTTTTGCTAGCGGCTGTCTTAGCACGCCTGCTTGCGAAACTCGATGCCAGTGAACAAAAATGGTTTGGATGTTTCATTAGTTAGATCGAAGTGTTTTAATGGGTTTTTTTTAGTGTTTCATTTTTTCTCTTCGGTTTTCACTTGGATCTTGTTGATGGTTTTTTTTTAGAATTACATGGTACAAAACAGACACTCACAACGCACGCACAATCACCCCTATGATCGCACGCACGCAAACCCTATCCCTATGAGCATTTTTGAAGACTGGGCCGGCAAATTCATCCTGGAGTGGACAAAGTCATCACAGGCGCCTCGCTGTCGACGGATACGTTACCTACCACTGAAAGCACAAAGCCGTTAAATCTTGAAAAATTCGCTCCCATGGGGAGTTGAATCCAGGGCTGCACAAAGCCATTAAATTCTGAAAAATTCGCTCCCATGAGGAGTCGAATCCACGACCTATGGTGCTACTGAGCCTCTTATAACCACTTCTTTTTAAATCATTTGTTTATATGTTGAAGCAAATTGTTTCATATGACTATCCGATTGTATTCCACTTCTTTTTAAGAACTGAAATATTTTTTTCACTAAATGCTGCAACATTAGTTTATGAGAGGCGAAACACCGTCCGATTTTTTTTAAGAGAAAAATAATAAAATGGGATGTGCGATTTGTAGTTGTTTTTAGCTAGGTAGTTGGCTACCATGCATTAAATGAAGGTCTCTTTATTTATTCGTAGGAAAAAAAACATTAACACGTAGGTAAAACATGATTCAGATGAGGATGGATCGATCGGAACATGCACAGTACATATCACTTGAGTGCATGTGATCATTATTTAATTAAGATAAGCAGGATGCTGAAGGCAGGCAGATGAGGCAGGCTAGCCGATGGTGGGGGTGCCGGCGACGGTGTCGACGAAGATGCGGACGCGGTTGGGGCGGAAGTCCTTGGTCACCGGCCGGCGACCCCGCCGGAAGCACGACGATGTCGGCGTCGGGCATGTCCTTGAGGATCACCTTCTTCGCCTCCTCCACCGGCAGCCCCACCACCTCCGGCCACGACGTCTTCCGCTCCTCCTCGCCCGCCGCCGCCGCACCGTCCTGCTTGCCGCCGGAGCTCATCGCCGACCTCTCACACCTCCGGACACGATCAACTGATGATGAGCTATATATCAGGAATGTAAACTTTGGAGAGAGTGTATATGTAGCTTGCGTATATGTCATACATATGGCGTATATATATAGGCATAGCTAGATAGATGGATCGATGGTGGGTAATTTAATTTGTCGGTGTTGCATGTGATCGATCATTGATACATAGGAGTAGTATAGTATTATTATGCGTGATACACGAGCGAGTATATAAATGCATTATGTTTTGCTCTCAGTCGTCCGGCAGCTGATCGAGGCAAACAATCCATTTAGCATATATAATTAATTAACTGGCCCATGCACGCATGTATGCTGCCAAATTAGTCGTCATTGATAGTATATATATTTCCCATTTCACGTGAAGCACATACCCGTACTCTAGCCTTTTCTGTTTGGGATAAGATTATTTATCCATCCCTAGCAAAGATCCAGAATGAGAAATTAATGGAGGGGATCATCCCCCAAACTATTGCTCCTCTCCTTCTGGTTCCTCCTCCCTCTTTCCTTGTATTAATGACGATTCAGAAAAGCTCTATTCGCTAGCATCCATATCGCATCCGACCCTTTATTTAGCTAGCTATCCTACCACGATCAAGATGCTCACTAGAACATGGCATGTTTTTTTTTTATGTTTGTTGGGTGATATCCAGCACGTTGCTGCAGCCTACGGGATTTTATTACTATAAAGTCATAAGTAATATTTGGTTATAAGTAAAATTTGGTTATAAGTAAAATTGTAGAACAATGGTCAAGAAATTGACTGAGGATAATTTTTCTTCTTATTGAGGGAATTATTAAATTAAGATAAATTGGAGAGCCCATCCAGCGTAGCTGCCCTTTCTGGTTTTTCGATATTTCCGATATCGTTTTTGTTTCTGAGAAAAATATGGTTATGGTAATGGTTGAGCCTTTTTTCCGATTGTTTCCGACCGTTTTCATCCCTACTTGACACCCTCGTGAGGAGTTTCAGTTGAAAGTTTTCTCAAATTCTGTAACTTCGTATCGAAAGATTGAGAGCCAAGAGCACAAAGTTTTTGATTTTTTTTTGGGAAGTTTCAGTTTTTGGATTTTATATTGAAAGTTTGAGCCAAGAGTATAATTTTTTTGAACTTTTAGTTGAAAGTTTCAATTTTTGGATAAAAGGTCTTGTGACTTTATATATGAAGTAGGTTTATTTTTTCCTAGTTAAACTTGCTTTAAGTATGACCAAGTTTGTAGAAAAATATAGCAATATTTTCAACACAAAACAACATATTATCAAAATACATACAATGCTACATTTAATAAAACTAATCTGGTATTATAGATGTTGCTAATATTTCTATAAACTTGGTTAAACCCAAAAAAGTTAAAACAATTTATAATATGAAATGGAGGGAGTACTCCTTACAAAACAAAAGAAAAATCTATGAATTATATAGAGATACTACTAGGAGCGCAGCATGCTCCTAGTATTCCGAGCGCCAAGCATGCATCAGCCCAAGCCCACCTCACCCCACGTCCCATCATCTTGCTCCCACCATTATCAGAGTAAACGATTTACTTTGATAAAAACAACTTCCCTGCTCCCCACCCCACCGCACGTCCTGCCATCCTGCTTCCACCATTATCGGAGTAAACAATTTACTTCGATAAAAACAACTTCTCTGCTCCCGATGTGGTAAAGATTACGAAAACCCTTTGACTCGGGCGCCCGATGGGAACAAGAATATTGGGCGCCCGCGCCCCACGCCTCGCTCCACCCGCTGCCCAGCCCTCGCACCCCCACCTTCCATATTATGCATTCCCCTCCTCTCTCTCAACCGTTTCTCTCCACCCGCTCCTCACGCTCACTACTACAAAATTGATTTTTCATGGCGTCAACTTATTTTTTTCTCTGGCGGCCATACGTGAAAACCACCAGTGGAATTATAACAAGGGTTGGGGGCTAATGGCCAGCAGCGAAAATGGATCGTCCTTGGTGGCCAGGTTAAGAGGGCCGCCAGCAAAAATAGAGGTATTTTTGCAAGTGGTGCTCTTAAGATGCAGCCAGTAAAAAAAAACTATTTTTTACTGGCGGGGTGTTGGGAGCCTCGCTTGCAAAAATCGTGGGAGGGAATAAACATCACGTGCTCCCTCTTTTTTTCCTCGACCCCTCAGATCCAACCCTTCTCTCTTTCTTTCTTTCTTTCTTTCTTTCTTTATCTCTCTCTCTCTAGCTAGTAGCAGCGAAGGGGTGCAGCGGCGGCGGTCAATGATGGCGGCGCTCGGCGGCAGCGGCAGCACGACTTGGCCATGCTTGGCGGAGGCAAGGAGAGCCACGTAGTGGAGGTCGGCAGCAGCGGAGGGGAGGCGGCGGTGTGCTTCCGTCCAGGACGCGACCACGACGACGAGACGGTCGCACTGTAGGGATCAGAGCAGTTGCGGTGGCCTGGCTCTCCCCTCCCCCTCCTAGATTTGGTTGGAGGGGAGGGGGTGGCTCGGTCCGGATCTGGCGACGGCAGGTCGTGACGGTGCAGATCTGGCAGCAGCGAGTCACGGGGGCATGGATCCGACGGCGACGAGTCACGGGGGCATGGATCCGGCGACAGCGGGTCACGGTGGCGCGAATCCGATGGCGGCAGGTGACGATGGTGGGGATCTGGCAGCAACGACTTCCTCCCGGCTATGGCTTCCCCTTGGCATATATCCTCCTCCATAGTGGCAATGGAGACGGGTGGCGATAGTGTAGGGGATAGATTCGACTGCGGCTGATGTGATCATGGCTACTATGGATACAATCATTGTTCACATCATGGATGAACAAGAAGATATCAAGATCAAGTCTTCCAAGTGCTGGAATCCAATTCGGCCACCTGCAACATTGCTGACTTCAAACGGCCGCCAAATCTCCATTCGAGCTCCGTTTTCGTCCCGTGAGTACTTGATGGAAAGCTCTCAGAGTCCTCTTTCCAACGGATCCAGCCTCATTGTGATATTCCATCTCAGTGAGCCGCAATTGAAGAAACAAGGGGCTGCATTGTCTGTAATGGGCCTATGGGCCTGTAACTTCGTCTGGGACCCCGGCCCAAGTGGGGCCCAAGGGGGGCTGTGCCCCAAACAGAGGGAGGACGCCCTTCTGACCTCCTCCATCCCTTAAATAGCTAGTAACCCCTCCAGGGTTAGTCAGGTTTTGTTTAGATGAAAGTTTAGCTATTGCTACTTCCTTGTAGCGCGCGTGTCGGCTAGACCGTCCGTCTGCTTGTATTCGGAACCCCAACTTATCATTTGTATTAAATTCCTATTTGCAATATCAGATTGCTTTTATCTTGTTCTTGCTTGTTTCTTCGATTTGCTTGCAGGAATAGGGTTGATCTGCACCAGCAAGATCAACAACCCACGGAGAGGTGTATCGATCGCTAAGGCGCAACACAACGTCTCGTACGGTTGTAGTCGGATCGTTAACGTTTCTCCCAAATCGTAGTTATCACAACTCACCGAAAGATCGGGCCAACAACAGCCTTGAGTGTCGAGAGGAACTTAGGGTCCATCAGCGGCGAAGATGAGGGGCGGTGAAGGAGGTAGATCCGGCAGCGGTGGTCCTCCGGACCACGGCCGTTGACCCTCGCAGGCCGACCGCTATCGTCGACCCTGCCCTGCCGCTATACGACGACATCTCGATTTTCAACTGTTTTATCCCAAAAAATGTTTTCATCTATTGTCCTCTTTAGTTTGCTGCCTACAAAAATGGTATTTTTGCTAGCGGCTGTCTTAGCATGCCTGCTTGCGAAACACGATGCCAGCGAACAAAAATGGTTTAGATGTTTTATTAGTTAGATCGAAGTGTTTTAGTGGGTATTTTTATAGTGTTTCATTCTCTTCGATTTTCACTTGGATCTTGTTGATGTTTGAATGGTTTTAAAAAATTTGTTTTATATGTTGAAACAAATTGTTTCATATGACTATCCAATTGTGTTCTACTTCTTTTTAAGAACTAAAACATTTTTTCACTAAATGCTACAACATTAGTTTATGAGAGGCGAAACACCGCCAAATTTTTTTAAAGAAAAATAATAAAATGGGACGTTCTATTTGTAGTTGTTTCCTAAAGATTAGCTAGGTACTTCCTCTGTTTCACAATGTAAGTCATTCTAATATTTCCCACATTTGTATTGATGTTAATAAATCTAGATAGATATATATGTCTAGATTCATTAATATGAATATGAATGTGGGAAATGTTAGAATGACTTACATTGTGAAACGGAGGGAGTAGTTGGCTACCATGCATTAAATGAAGGTCTCTTTATTTATTCGTAGGAGAAAAACATTAACACGTGCGTAGGGTAAAACCAACATTATTCAGATGGGGGATGGATCGATCGAAACATGCACAGTACATATCACTTGCGTGCATGTGATTATTTAATTAAGATAAGCAGGATGCTGAAGGCAGGCAGATGAGGCTAGTAGCTAGCTCTAGCCGATGGTGGGGGTGCCGGCGACGGTGTCGACGAAGATGCGGACGCGGTTGGGGCGGAAGTCCATGGTCACCGGCGTCCCCACCGGAACCACGACGATGTCGGCGTCGGGCATGTCCTTGAGGATCACCTTCTTCGCCTCCTCCGCCCGCAGCCCCACCACCTCCGGCCACGACGTCTTCCCCTCCTCGCCGCCGGAGCTCATCTCGCCGACGACCTCACACCTCCGGACACGATCAAACTGATGATGAGCTATCAGCAATTAATGTAAACTTTTGAGAGAGTATATATGTAGCTAGCTTAATTAGCTTGCGTATTTATCATGCATATGGCGTATATATATAGGCATAGCTAGCTAGATGGATCGATGATGGGTCAATTTAATTTGCCGGTGTTGCATGTGATCGATCATTGATATATAATTTATGCGTGATACACGAGCGAGCGACTACTATTCATATATATAAATTAATGCATTATGCATTATGCATGTGTTTTGCTCTCGATCAGTCGTTCAGCTGCTGATCGAATCAAACTATATCCATTTAGCATAATTAATTAATTGGCCCATGCATGTATGCTTACTACCAAATTAGTCATCGTTGATTGTATATATTTCCCATTTCACGTGAAGCACATACCCGTACCTAACACTAGCTGTTTCTGTTTGGGATAACATTATTGATCCATCCCTAGCACGGATCCAGAATGAGAAATTATTCAATGGAGGGGATCATCCCCAAACTATTGCTCCTTTCCCTCTTGTTCCTCCTCCCCTAATTATCAATGACGATTCAGCAAGGTAGAAAGGCTCTATTCGCTAGCACCCATATCGCATCCGTCCCTTTATTTAGCTAGCTACCCTACCATGATTCTGTAACTTCGTATCGAAAGATTGAGAGCCATGAGCACAAAGTTTTTGATTTTTTTGGGAAGTTTCAGTTTTTGGATTAGAAGTTTTGGGTTTTTATATTGAAAGTTTGAGCCAAGAGTATAATTTTTTTGAACTTTTAGTTGAAAGTTTCAATTTTTGGATAAAAGGTCTTGTGATTTTATATATGAAGTAGGTTTTTTTTTCCTAGTTAAACTTTCTTTAAGTATGATACACGAGCGAGCGACTACTATTCATGCAGCATGTGTTTTGCTCTCAGGCCCTATTTAAAAAAAAAATTTCACACTGTCACATCAAATGTTTAGACATACGCATGAAGTATTTAATGTAGGAAAAAACCAATTACACATATTACGTGTAAATTACGAGACAAAATTTTTAAACCAAATTGCACCATGATTTGACAATGTGGTGCTACAGTAAGCATTTGCTAATAACGAATTAATTAGGCTTAATAAATTTATCTCGCAGTTTTTTAGTAGAATCTATAATTTATTTTGTTTTTAAACTACGTTTAATACTTCAAATGTATATCCGTATATCTGATGTGACAATCAAACCTAATTTTTTTCCCAACAAAAGAAAGCCTCAGTCGTCCGGCTGCTCATCGAATCAAACTATCCATTTAGCATAATTAATTAACTGGCCCATGCATGCATGTTTGCTGCCAAATTAGTCGTCATTGATTGTATATATTTCCCATTTCACGTGAAGCACATACCCGGCCGTACGTAACTTTTTCTGTTTGGGATAACATTATTTATTTATCCATTCCTAGCTACTCTCCCCCGTTTCACAATGTAAGTCATTCTGGTATTTTCCACATTCATATTGATATTAATGAATCTAGATAGATAAATGCTAGAATGACTTATATTATGAAACGGAGGAAGTAGCACAGATCCAGAATGAGAAATTAATGGAGGGGATCATCCCCCAAACTATTGCTCCTCTCCCTCTTGTTCCTCCTCCCATCTTTCCTTGTATCAATGACGATTCAGGCTGTGTTTGGAATCCTGTGTTTCCAATCCCTCTCCGTTGTATTTCGCGCGCACGTTTTTTAAACTACTAAACGGCGTGTTTTTTAAAAAAAGTTTATATACGAAAGTTGCTTAAAAAATTATATTATCTATTTTTGAAAAAAAAGAAAATACTTAATTAATCACGCGCTCATATACTGCTCGGACATGCAACAGCTGATTCCAAACGCACCCTAACAAGGCAGAAAAGCTCTATTCGCTAGCACCCATGTCGCATCCGACCCTTAGCTTTATTTAGCTCGCTAGTTATCCTACCAGCATCAAGATGCTCACTAGAACATGCATGGTGTGTTTTCTTATGTTTATTGGGTGATACTCAGCACGTTGCTACAGGATTTTATAAAGTCATAGGTAAAGTAGAACAATGGTCAAGAAATGACTGGAGATCATTTATCTTGTTATCGAGGGAATTATTAAATTAACATAAATTGGAGAGCCCATCCAGCTTAGCTGCTCTTTCTTGATAGAGAGTTTAAAACATACTATTATCCTGTATATACCAATTAAGAAAAAAAAGCTTCACCGGGTAAAGGTCATTACTGAAATACATATCGTCGGCTTAAAGATATATACACATCGAATTTAAAAACCAACTTGTTGACTTATATTCTTATTAGATCTGAATAAATGTAGGTGACAAATCAACCAACTGGTCTAGATGATATTTTTTGCCACATCCTTGCAACTGCAGTAATGAAAAATGATCTGTGATTCGATCGGGGACAAAAAAAAAGTATCTAAAATCATGGGAAAACGAACGGGGGATGCATGGTAAAAAGAAGGAATTGACATGGGTAAAAGCACCTTCCTCCCCATTAACGTTCAGCATGACGTGGCGTTTCAGTTGGCGGGGATTCTTGGTTGCTCCATAGCTTCCTTCCCCCAACCTTATTTATGCCTCCCTCTCTCTGTTTGTTACCAAGCTTTGTCTTGCAAACTGTCAACCTCTCATCGCTAGGATTGACAAGCGACTTGCCGGTTGGCGCGGTCACCTTCTGTCTTCCGATGGTCGGCTTGCCCTCATCAATTCGGTGCTCTCGGCCCTCCCATCATACATGATGGGGGCTATCCTTCCTCCTAAAGAAGTGATTACCACTATTGACAAGCGCTGAAGGGCCTTCTTCTGGACGGGGGAAGAAAACTGTCACAGCGGCAATTGCAAAATTGCGTGTAACATAGTTTGCTCTCCGAAAGCGAAAGGTGGTGCTGGATAAAAAATCTCAAGACACAGAACATATGTCTTCTCCAAAAATTTCTCCTCAAAATGCACGAGGGTGATTCTGCACCGTGGATCGATTGCTTTCGCGATCACTACGGATGGTCTGCCTCGTGTGATCTAGGCGATCTTTTGCGCCTTGACACGATCATCTGGAAGGACATCGTCGCGGGCCTTACACACTTCCGTAGTGTTTCGAAATCCATCATTGGAGATGGTCGGTCCACTTCCTTCTGGTTTGATAATTGGATTTTAGGCGGCGCCCTCTTTCAACTGTTCCTTGCCTTGTTCTCACATGCAACTCGCCCCCAACATCTCTATCACGGACGCCCTAGACCGTGTTGGAAATATAGTCATTATTCGGCATATTTTAATCCAAGAAATTGAAACTATGATCATGGCATAAGCAGTGTAGGGTGATCTTAACATAACCAGTAGCATACTATGCGCATCATGAATGTCAGAAACAGGAACATACCAGTAATGCGATAACATGCTAGAGGCATCATGTAGAACAGAACCAAGAACATAGCGCACACAGTATAGCGCTAACAGCAGTAGAAGGAGAAGATTATACCCCGAGAATGGCCCTCCACTGGATGGTGAGGCAGAATTGCCTCCGTTGTTGTAGTCGTTCACGGCACCTCCTCCTGGCGCACCAGCTCCGGATCCAGCTCCTGTCGGCGTCGGCGGCGGCGCACCACCTCCGCCAATAGCGGCGGCAGCAACTCCAGACATGGCGATGAGCAGTCGTGCAGGAGGCACTCCCCAAAAACCTGATCACCCGCCTACCCGGTGCAGATCTCAGGCGAAGGTGTGGTTTCGGAGGCACTGCTTCTTCCAATCTCTCGTGCGCGCAAGAGATCAGAAGCGGGGAAGCGAGAGCAACTCAGGCGCGGAGAAGGAGAAACTAACACCGGGAAAGAAGCGAGGAACTCGGATCAGACTCGCGGCCTCCTTATCTATCAGGAGAAAGAACGTGGACGCGCTGTTGCGGAGGGAATCGTGGGAACGTGGGTTAGTGGCTGCAAAAGGATAGCGACGTGACGCACGCACGCACGCCCGCCGCCAGCCAGCCACGCCACGCCACGCCCACGCCCCGGCCCGGCCCGGCGCGCGCGCGCGTGTGGCATTCCGACCCCCACCTCAACTGGTCAACAGGGAGCCTCTAATAACTCCCTATTTAGGTTGAGATATTTCTCGCTTAAATCCAGAGGTGGTATTATTATCCTCAACATTTATTATGGGCCTTTGAGATTTAATATTATAAGTTGGGCCTAGCCCAATTATTCTAACAATCCCCACCAAATTTCAAGGCTCATAAGAAATGTTCTCAAGGCTGTGCCTGTTTGATATACCAGGGTTTTGGTGGAGACTGTTAAGTTGAACTTCCACCTAGGAAATGAGCTACATCAGACCACAACTGAACAATGGACTATGCCTTGAATTGTAAGTTTTGTGTGATCAGGTTTCACTCAGAACCTTGACTGGTACTGGGCTGCCGTTCGCATCCCCTCTGTTTGGAGCATATAAGTCAAACTCCAGGCCTTTCATGAGTATCTAGAGATTGCCCAAACCTCATAGACTGTGACTAGCAGTCGAACTCATATAGGTGTGTTCCTTCTGAGATGTTCTGCAGGTCAACATCTCTGCTTGGAAAAGCCACTCGGATCACATTAAGACATAAGCCATCCTACCATGCAGGAAAGAAGAGAAGCACATCATGAAAATGAGCCCCTTTCAAGGGTCTCTTCTCTCAGTCACACAATAATTTGTTTCACCATCCAAATTCACGGGATCTCCGATCACAATGGACAGGTTTCCACTATTATGCAACCTTAGGTGGGTATCAAGCCCATTTCCCTCGATGCACTGTCTATCACATTACGTGGTAGCCCCTTGGTAAACTGATCTGCCAGATTTCTAGCCGTTTGGACATAGTCCAATGCTATCACTCCGGAGTTTTTCTGCTTTCTGACAGATTTCAGTCTTCTCTTGATGTGTCTAGATGACTTCATGTTGTCCTTTGAACTGTTCACTTTAATAATCACTGTTTGATTATCGCAGTTCATTAGGATAGCTGGCACTGGTTTTTCAACCACCGGCAAATCCATCAGGAGTTCACGAAGCCACTCAGCCTCAACTGTCGCAGTATCTAGTGCTGTAAGTTCTGCTTC